GTATATCAAAATCCTTCAAGCTATTTACACTACGAGCGGCTAAATCTTCTTACGCACTCGTGTTTACATACAAAAAACTCAAGCAAAAATATCTTTCAGAAGTTCCTTTCAGATATAATAAAAAAAAAAAAAAAACAGAATGTATACACTTGAGACTATTTAAGGAAAACAGTTTTATAGATTTTCTGATCGGAATAATTTGCTATTATAAAAGATACATCGTAATCGTCGTAACATTAGTGATAGGTAAAATACTCACCTGTATCTTATTTCAGTAATGTAATAAAATAAATATCCAATGTCTATACATAAGAAATATTTACAAAAAATTGATATGACAGGTTTTAATAGAAATAACAATAGCCAAAAAACAATAATTTTCGGAATTTTTGTCACATATAAAATTTTCGAAAATGATTGTTTTGGTTACATTCGACATCACACAAAAACTACTGTGCAAACTGAATGCAGTTTTCATGGTCATGTTCTTAAAGATCTAACTTCAAATCTGGTGTAGGGTTAATCCTGGTACGTCATTTTGAAATGGCTACCTATATTCAAAATTCCCGCTTAAGAGGTTGTAAGCAAGTTTTTTTTTAATTAAATTTGAATAGAATAATATTATATTAAAATATGCGTATAATATATTCTTAATTTATATCTGACTAATCCCAAAATGTGGCCAAAAATGAACAACAGAACATATAAGCAGATACTTATAACATATGCTATGAAAATTTGTCACTATAGGCATTAGTTCCAATTTCCTTTATAATATACTTACCCCAAGAGAAAAAGCGGAAGTTAATAGAGCAATAACATTATTGATGTGCCATTAAACTCATAAAGTGCAACGTTTATGATATTGTTTGTTGAATAAGTGAGAAACAACAACATCAAATTAATACATTACTGTTGTAATGACAAACAACATTAATTTAATAGCTCCGATTCAACGGCCCGATTGCAACGCATATACTTGTCTTATGTCCTATTCATATTATCCATTCGCTGTTAATCAATTTCAATTAACAAATCTTAATAATAATTCAACCATGAAATACCTATTATACCATGATGTACCTATCTATTTAGTTTTTTAGAAATGAAAATTAATTATCTGACTGCGCCATCGATGCTTTTTATAAATATAATAAAAAAAAATTGCTAACAAATAGCTAATTTTTGTTTATTATAAGATACTGTGAAATTAATATTACATGTAAAATAATGTCACTAATGCAATTTGAAAACAGATATTATACTTTCCAAATTAAAAAAAAAAATATTGTCAACTCATATATACAATCAACTTTGTTATAAATTCGAATAATATAAGTGTTATTCTAATAATATCAATTGTACAAAATTTTACTTTAAGCGATTTAAATCTCTAGAGTATTTTTATAAATAATTTAAACAGTTTCTTAAACTAATACTATTTATACATTAATAAACTAATACTAATATTATTTCTTACAAACGGTTTACTAATTATATTATGAGAGGAAATTACGGGTATTATTATCATAGGTAACACAAACAAAACTTTGTCTAAGTGAAACGTGAAGCAGTCTCATTTGAGTAAGATGAATTTGTCTACTAATGTTTGCACTAACATTAATTTATCGTTAATATAATCGATATAAACGTTAACGCTCAAAATAAAATTTGAGCGTTAACAATAAATTAACTTCTAAAATGTCTCTTTAGTCGAAGCAAATAATATACAGGAAAAATCTTTACAACACAGAATGTTCATATATTATGGTATATAATTTCTTCGTTTTCATATCATATTCAAATATAAATACATACAACCTTATGTAGAATACATTAAAACTAAATAAGAATAATAAGACAAAGTCTAATTATAAAACAGCGTACAGTATTCAAATTCACCGATTCTCAAAACACGCCGACTCCATAAAACTCACCTAATAAATATTCTTTACAAAGTAAACATCCGAATCATTATCATTTAAATCAGTGGAAAGGAATTAATATTCAACAACACCATCCGCCATTTTGTCGAACGTTTAATTAAAAAAATGGAACTAAATATACCTACGCACTCGACGCAAACTCGATCTCACCAAATATTGAATTCGAATCGAATCGAATTGAAATTATTATTCCGTCAGAGGCATGTCTTTAGTGAAAGCGACTGATCAATTAATAATTGAATTGCTCGCGTTAAACGGGTGCCTTTTTCTTAATGGGGAGCGTTATTGAGAAGGCAGCACAATAAATTGAATTGGTATCGTCATACTTGTGGAATTCGTTTAATCCAGCGGCCTGGAGGAATGTAGACGACATTGTTTTGTGGTCTACGTCGCCGGCTCGGGCGTGCGGAGCGTGCCTATTCAAATAAGGGAATGAACTCGATGGCGAGTCGCGTGAGTGAAATGTTTATGTTGGTATTCCATACGCTCATTGTCCTATTTTATTCGCAGATCCAAAGACGGAATATAGGGAATATTTTTACAGAAATTGCTTCGTGGAAATTAGGTTTTCAGGTTCAATTATTCGGTTGAATCAATTCGTGATGTGGACTTTTCTGAATTATCTCGACTCTCATTGTTGTGTTGTACGTCTACATATTTATTTTAACTACTTACTTCTATTCATAGTACAATAAATCTTAGTTAGCGGAAAAATAATTACTATACGTGTATGTGTGGTTTTTAAATAAATATACGTTTTTGAACCTTGAGATTTCTTAAATTTAAAACTATATTATTATTTATTCATATTAGGTTAAAAATTTTGGCTCCCAATAGCACTACTCTCAGAAACTTATCTCGGGAATTAGGTTTGATAGCCTAGACTTTTCCGAATTGCGTCAAACTTTTCGGACATATTTGAAATCTCTTAGAACATTAAAGAAAAACGTAATATGATTATAACATTTAATTGATTTTCTTTTAAAACTTTGTACTTTAATATAAATAATCAGATCACGTACGCGAGAATAATTTTGCAATCTAAAACTGTTTCCTACATTATGCACTTCAATGCCTATATATTTTGTGCTTATCGACGATTGCCTACAATACAGTGTATTCTAAACACGTCAGCGAAAAACGAACGCTTTTTCAACGTAAAAATAAGTTGAGAATAGCGAAACATGGGCCTGCGTCCGACGTCCCGACGTGACAAATGTTCAGATTGACGCGAAATAGATTTTTGAATAGGCCGCCATGCGTTAGCAGTCGCCATGTTGGATCGGGCACTCGACCGGATGAATCCGGTTTGAGGCGACTTGAACCGACCAAAGGCGGTTGGGGACGAGTGCAAATGTGTTCCTAATCTCGTTTTGTTAGCAATCGGTGTATTTAACGCCTTGTTATTTTTCAATTTAGCTTCTTTTGATAAAATTAGAATTAGGAGTTTGCGTAATTTTCATTTATATTCAAATTGGGTATGTCTATAGAGATGTTGCATCTCTGTGCATCTTTTACCAAATTTACCATAGGAAATGCTCTAAGAAATTGTTCGGATTAGTTCCTGCTGCTAATTTTCACTACCGTCCAACCCGCCATAGACTAAATTTCCATCCCAACTATCTCTGGATGTATCATCTGGTTGAGTGGTGGTCCTCCACCGTGCATTTTTCAAAGTACTTTCTTCGCCACACAATTCAATTTATTCCTTACCAATATTACATTGTGTTGAATATGATAAAATTTTAAGAAAATCGCTCTTTGACAGCAGTTTTTCCGAATCGATATGACGTCATTACCTTCAAGAAAAAAGCATATTCCTTTTTAAAAGGTCAGCAGCACATCCGCAATACTAGAGGTATTTCAGGTGTACTGCCGGCCTTTTGAGGGTGCAGGTGATCATGCGCGGCAGTAGTTACTTATCATCAGGTGAGCCGTATGCTCGTTTGCCCTTATGTTATAAAAAAAATCTATACGACCATAATAAAACAGAAGTTTGTTTGTTTATTTAAATGCACTAATCCTAACTTTTAACTGTCCATTGCTGAACATAGACCCCGTAATAGGGGCTTTACCAATAGTTACCACGCTTGCCAGGCGAATTTTTTTTTAATGGGTGATAATGGAATGGCAACTTTGCCTTCGCTATCGGGATACGCTGGCGAGGCACCAGTTAGGAAGATAGATAAGGATGAAGCAGGTCAGTTGGCCCATCGTGATGAATTCAACAAAAATTGTTCACGATGGTTTCCAGGGGTAATCACGTGGAGGTCGACATAATAGGGCATATTGCTTGCAATAGAGCTGTCAAACTCCATCGCTAACAATCCTTTTCCCCCCGCCAGGCGGATTGGTGACCGCAGTTAGACTTTAATGACATTTTGAGAGAACTGCGATCCATCGCTCAACTCTTAGTCTCTTCATACAACACGGGAAAGAAAGGAATGTCCCATTCTATACCGGGACTGTGCGGATACAATTTTTTATGAGCTTATCTCTAATGAATTATGAAATATCTAAATGAATTATGAAATATTTAAATGAGCTACAAATAGCCTTTAGGCTGTTTAATATAGTTACGCCTTGAGAAATAAAGACAAATTGGAATTGCCAAAAACACGACTCATAAAAACTATAAAAAAATATATTCATCTAAAAAAAAATATAATAAATTACCCAATACAATAACACAATTGCCGAAAATAAATTTAAAAATAAAATGTAGACATATTATTTCATACTATTAACTGTCCACTACTGGACATAAGCCTTCCCCATAAGGGGTGTTTTGCCATTAGTTGCCACCCTTGGCAGGAGGATTGTCAACCGCAGTTAGTCTTTTAGTGATGTTTTAAGAGGAGCGCTACTGCCCATCCCTCGCCCTCCCTTAGTCGCCTGTTACGACGCCCACAGGAAAGGAAAGAGTGGCCCAAACTATGCCGGAGCATGCATGGCGATTATCAGTATACTTTTTAAAATAAATACTTAATTATAAAGTTAGTAGTAGCGAATGTAATTTATTTAATTAATTAAAAAAAACCTTTGTTATTACAGGCGCAGTCGGCGGTGATGGCGACGACAGTGATGATAAGGAAAAGGAAGAAGAGGCGGAACGCGAACGACAGGAAGCGATCCGCGAGGCAGAGGAGCGGCGTAAAGAAAAACACCGCAAGATGGAGGAAGAGAGGGAGAAGATGAGACAGGAGATTAGGGACAAGGTACGTACCATATCGATGTTTACTAAGTCAACAAGTTCATTTGGCGAAGAATACCACTTACCATCAGACGAGCTATCATTTTATTTACTTTTCGGGATCCATAAACAATTATTTACTCTGCAAAAAAAGACGTTCTCAATCGTACTAAAAACACGCTGATGAAAGACAAGATGGTTTAAATGGAATGGCTGGATTACATTGAAAATATTTAAATTTAGAACGCGGATTCGTAAGTCTATAAGAGAATGATGAGTATCTCTACCCCGATACCAAATCTCACATACATGATATTGTTTCAGTTTGAAAAGTGAGATTAACACCACTAAATAATATCTTAGGTTTTAATAATGAAAACGCATGAAAAATACCATAAGTATGACAATATTCATTATATATAAAGTCCATGGTGTAATTTTTATATTTAGGAGATACTTTCCAATTTGCATCAGTGAGCTAGTAGGTAGATAAGCTTATTTGCCATTCTAAGAAATATAGAAAAAGAATATCTTTTTTAATTGTATACTCACCTTTACTCACGACTTCGTACACGTGACCGGGATATGTTTGCTGACCAGAAACAAAAAGTAGCCTATAACCTTTTCCATCCTATATAGTATACATATACAAAATTTTATATTGATTGGTTAAATCCTTAATGCGTTATAAGGTAACAAATATACTCACTATACCTTTTATAATATTAGTAAGCGATTCAATAGACGAAACTTACTATGAACGGTAAATACTGCCAGTTCTCGACAAGCCTAAAGTGCTACATACACCGTGTAATTCGCACGACCGCCATCCGGAATGAAATTATAAAGCCAATAGTGAGTATGAACGGCGTACAATTAATCCGTGGAAATGGGTCAAGCGCCCTTAGAGCCCTTCCACACGCCAGGGGTAATTTTGTTCGGCTCGAGGGCTTTTCACACGACCCGACTCATGCGATTTTATGATTGAAGTTATGAAGTTCCTTCTGAAACCGCGTTATTATTGGGTTAGGGAACATTTTAATTTAGATTTTTGTATCCACAAAATGTTTTATCGTTTATATTTTAATACGTAATCCTTTTTTGTTTTAACTGTATGTATCAATTAATTCATGTGCTTTTTTAATATTTAAAGCAATTAGTTTAGCAGTAAAATCAGTAAAACTTACAAATAAGCATTATGCCAGCTATTAATAAAATTATTATTAATGCAATATTTATATTTTCTATTCACTTCTAAATAACCTATCCATAGAAAATACGTCAGTTGTTAAAATAGACCTTCAAGAATACGACTGTGAAAACTGCATTCAATTTAGTACAGTAGTATTTGCGTGACGCCGATACAAACACACAGACTGACAGAAAAAAATAAGGTCTTATTAAGACTCCTCATATTAATTTTTCTGAAATATCTACCTTGTATAGGCATCGTCTAGTTACAATTTTATTCTTCTTCTTTTCATTTAAGAGTTTCCTCTTGTCTGTGCAACTAATTTCTAGTTACAATTTTATTAAATTAGTAAAATAAGATTATATGTGTAAAAATATATGTATACATTTCTATTAATGTCATCAACATCATCATCATCATATCAGCTTTTGACTGTCAATTGCTAGCAGGCGTGTTGGTTGGGTTCTGTTAATAAAAAATTATGAAAGGTTTCTTTTAAATTTTAAATATAACAGTGATCGTTATATTTAAAATTTACAAGTAACCATTAATTTATTCTTTACAATATGACAATTTCTACTATTGCTTAATAATATTTAAAATTAAATTATAAGCACATTTAAAAATAAATAAAGTACTAAACAAGAAAGTCTTGAGTTAATTTAAAAAAATCCCCACAGATTTAACGGAAAATTAACCCAAGTGGTCCACATTAATCTCTCGCGGAGACCTTAACGTGCCATCTTCATTTATGAAACAAAAGATCACTGACGGCGTTTCACTTATTTTTAATTAAAAAAATCTTTATAATCACCGACGGTAAAACATTTGTGGAACGTGAAAACCTTTGTGGCTCTTTGTCGTGTTTAGAAAATTCCTAGGATACCTCACTTTTTACAGAGGGACTTGAAATTAAGATAAGGTTGGGCATGCCTCGTATGTTCCAAATGTCTATTATTTTGTAGTCCTGTAACTGTATTAAGGATAATTATTAGAGACAACTAGGGGTCCACTTTACTACTTAATTGAATACCCACAGAATACATATATGTATATATTTAAGAAATTAATTTTATTAAGAAATTAATATAATAGTATGTTATAATTTTTTTTGGTTAAAGTTTAATGCACATACACTGTATATACGTTTGGAAAACTAAATACCGTTATATATAGTATATTATCTATGCTAAAGTTGTTGTACTAGTATTATGACTGTGAAATAAAAATAAAAAATTATGCTCATATCTGTAATCTCTAATAAGATAGTCAGAGACATTTGTTGACTATTACTACTGATAAGTAAAAGTTTGTTAAAAATAATATTACAATTAATATTTATCACTAAGTAGTTTTTACCCGTTACTTCCAATCCTTTCCAATTACAATAATTTAATAAAATTTAACTCACCCTATTTATTGGAAACAGATCAAAAAGCTTTTAGAAAATACCAACATTGTATTGAGCATAAAAATACAATCTCCTACAACATTGGATACAACAGTGACTCGTCTTAAATACACAATACGAAAGTATCCAGATTTATATCCATCTATCACGATACTATGTCGTGAACCTTGAACTCGTAAAAAAAGTAGTAATCTGTCTTGTTTTACGAACCATCCTGTGGTAGGTACTATGGTATTGGAATTGTTTGCGATGTGTTAGGATCGACGGAAATTGAAATTTTAAGGATTTCAAATATTGAACGTACAAGAAAACAGATTAGATTGAAAGGATGATTTTTTTTTAATAATAAGTTTAGAGTTATTAGCACTAAATATGAGGTACTTATTATTATTTTTATTCGAAATAGAGACTATAGATCTGCGAGGTTCTTTCAAATAGGCTACCTTTCTGTGTACTTGGTTAAGCGTACAATGTAATGTAAGAGATACAAAAATATATTTTCCAGTCATGCCTGCAGGCAGGTAAGTACTTGTAAGAAAAATGCTACACATTTCTCTATTATCAAAATGCTAAAAGGAAATAAGACATTTATTCTCCGTTAGAAATACGACGGTAGACCTAACACATCATTAAATACTTATTCGTTATATGATCAATTACGTAAGTTAACAAGATATATGAGAGAATAGATTTTTTTTTATAGTTAAGAGAAACAGGAATGGTAAATGCGCTAACAGTATACCTTGGTGGAATACCGGTAAGAGGTGATTGATGAGGATAAGAATGCAGGTCAGTTAGTCTATCGTAATAAATTCACCTGGAATGAAACATGATGGTTTCTAAGAGAACCGCGAAGAGGTCGACTTGATAGGGTATATTACTAGCATTGGGAAAGACAGTTATTAACAATTCCTTCCCCCAAAAAAGATGTTACATGTGAAAATAGAGTTATTGGTACTACAGTTGCCCTGTCCACCTCTTAAACATCAACCGCAGAGATAGGTAGATATATAAAAATATACAGGTACATTAAAACCTAAGAATCCAATTCTCACTAACTAGATCAAGTCTCAAAATGAATCACTATCTGATATTCCGACCCAGACAGAATCTCAGAACTGCAGTCACTAAATTTCCAATATGTATTTAAAAATCTAAGAACTCAACCATCAGATTAAGCTTTAAAACGAATCTAGAAACTGCTAAAACTAAATTTCCAGCACGTACGATAGAAAGACTTATTTTAGTCTTGTTCCTCTCTCGAGAGATTTTGACTATCCAACCTTAACTAAAACCAGATTACGATCAGTGTGACAAATTACGTTTGTGAAAATGAACCAAGAGAACGGTTGGACAGTGCGGTTCATGCAATTATGCAGATACCAGCTTATCGTCCAATGTCGTGATTATCTCTTGGACTGAATATTAATTCAACTCATATTTATGCATGTAGAACAACTGAACCGAGAAATTTCATTAACTACTAATTGTTAAAAGAAGTATCTAGCTCAGGTGTTTGAATTAATCTCGCCGACACCAAAACTTCTATGACCTTAACTTATATAAATTGTAATACTGAAATTACAATTTCTTATTAAATTTGTTACGATTGTAGCCGTTATTTTTTTTTTGGAGTAGAAGTGAGTTTGTTTATTAATTTGTTATCTCTTGACGCATTAATGGCCCAACCAAATGTTATGAGATTTGCCATATATTTACTATCTGATATAGAGAAATACGTAAACAACTTTTTCGCATTCACGCGATATATAATATTAATGATACCTTTTTTTATGCAACTTATAATGGCAAACAAGCTGACGGCCCATCTGATGGAAAGTGGTTAACCGTCGTATATAGATACAGAGTATACTGTTTCGCCCACGAAACCCCCTCCCCATGCGTTGTCATTTCCGAGGACTCAGTTGTTATTCCTCTGTACCCTGTAAATTCACTGCCATATCCCACCCTTAAAACCGAAACACAGCCATGCAAACACAAATGCTCCACGGTTTCTAACACGAATGGGACAGAGGTACCCAAGCAAACGACTTTTGTACAAAGTTTCCCTCTAGTAAACCTGATATTATAAGTCTTATACAAAGTATACATGTATTTACACATATAATTATTATATGTGCTTCTATAGATTTAAAGACAGATAATAGGATACCACAAACTAAAGAACTCCCTTATCTGCGCTATGATAATACTGTGACTTTAGATTACTTACTGTCGTTGGTGAAAACTTACGTCTCCTTGTAAGAACGACCTCATTGCCACGTTCCCCTCCACAAAATTACTCCTAATTTTCTCGTAAAGGGTGCACTTTCCGCATTTCCGAGAGGAAAAGTGTTTTAGGTAACTCTCTCGGCATTATATTGGGGCTTCAATTTAAACCCTTATTTTCTCCGAATTATTT